GTGTGTGTGTGTGTGTGTGTGTGTGTGTGTGTGTGTGTGTGTGTGTGTGTGTATCGATTGTGGAAACAGGTCAGAAGATACAAGCCGTGACAGTACGTTGAGAAAAATGGATACTGACCTTCTGAGTGAAATCCCCTTCAGCGGCATCTGAAAAATACGGGAATCGTAAAATTATATATTGTAATTTTGCTATATAAACGGTTGCAGTTGTACACTTGTTTTCCTTTTTAACTGCTCAACAACTACAAAAAGAGACATGTTTTATTCCATAAATTGCCTTGGAGACGGATGAATGGCCTCTGCGCCTGTCTCATCCAGCAGCAAAAAATCTCAGACTAGAGAAATAATTCCCTCGTCACCAAAAATTGAGAGATTTTTTAAAAAAACACCTATATATAGGGTAGGAAAGGGAAGAGGAAGAGTAGGAGTAGGAGAAAGTTAAGGGAAGAAGGAAGAGGAGGGAAGGAAGAAAGAGGGAAGGAGAGGAGGGTGGAAGGGAGAGGAAGAGAAGGAGAGAGGGTAGGAAGGGGAAGAGGGAGTAGGGGAGAGGTAAGGGAAGAAGGAAGAGGAAGGAAGAAAGGGAAGGAGAAGGTGGAAGGGGAGAGAAAGAGAAGGAGAGAGGGTAGGAAGGGAAAGAGGAAGTAGGAGTAGGAGAAAGATAAGGGAAGAAGGAAGAAGAAGAGGGAAGGAAGAAAGAGGGAAGGAGAGAAGGATGAAAGGGAGAGGAAGAGACGGAGAGAGGGTAGAAAGGGGAAGAGGAAGAGAGGAGTAGGGGAGAGGTAAGGGAAGAAGGAAGAGGAAGGAAAAAGAAGTAAGGAGAGAAGGATAAATGGGAGAGGAAGAGAAGGAGAGAGGGTAGGAAGGGGAAGAGGAAGAGGAGGAGTAGGAGAAGGGAAAGGAAAGAAGGAAGGGGAAGGAGAAGGTGGAAGGAAGAAAGAGGGAAGGAGAGGAGGATGGAAGAGAGAGAAAGAGAAGGTAGGAAGGGGAAGAGGAAGAGTAGGAGTAGGAGAAAGGTAAGGGAAGAAGGAAGAGGAGGGAGAAGAGGGAAGGAAGAAAGAGGGAAGGAGAGGAGGATGGAAGGGAGAGGAAGAGACGGAGAGAGGGTAGAAAGGGGAAGAGGAAGAGAGGAGTAGGGGAGAGGTAAGGGAAGAAGGAAGAGGAAGGAAGAAAGAGGTAAGGAGAGAAGGATAAATGGGAGAGGAAGAGAAGGAGAGAGGGTAGGAAGGAGAAGAGGAAGAGTAGGAGAAAGGTAAGGGAAGAAGGAAGGGGAAGGAGAGGAGGAAGGAAGAAAGTAGAGAAGGGAGAGAGGGAGAAAAGAAAGGGAAAATAAGGTGGCGTCACAACAGGAGGAAAGGACGGTAAACAAAGCAACCCAAACTATATATTATAACCTCTTAAATGAAATAATAAATATATAAGAATGATAAATGTAAAGAAGAATAACAATTATGTGAATATATACTTAATATGGTGTGTAAGAGAATAAAAAAATAGTTGGCCGTCCTCAACTTATGACCACAATCAAGCTGAAAATTTCAGTCGCTAAGCAAGACGTTTTTAAAAGGAATTCCTTTCTCGGCACAGTTGCTAAGCGAAAGCCCTGCTTAGCAACCGGCTCGTATTTAGGACGGTCGCCGGCTGCACAATCCCCTTTGGCGATCTGCCGACGAGTCAGGTTGATGGGGAAGCCGGATTCACTTCATGACCGTGTGATTAACCGCCGCAGTGATTCGCTCAACGACGGTGGTGAGGAAGGTTCAGTTAACAGGACAACATTCGCTTAACGGCCGCCTTGCTTAGCAACACAGATTTGAGGCCTCCGTTCTGGTAGTAAGTGGAGGAATACCTGCACGTTAGGTAACGTTGAACGCAATTGGAGAGCAAAATGATATATCTGTAGTAACTTTTGAGGTGTTGTGGCCTCTCGGCCACCGGCCCCTCCGAATCAGAGGAGGAGGAAATGTGGGAATCAGGGTCAGCCTCAAGGCAACCTGAGAACTCCGAGGGGGAAGAGGGAATGGAGCTGGCGAGAGAGAGGCAGAGACGGAGGCTGGGCCGTCTGTCAGCCCTCTGATGGAGGGTCAACAGGTCTGGACGTGGCTGTTGAGGAAGAGAAGGGACAGCTGGGGCCAGTGCCTGACGCACGGATGCTCAGGAGGCAGAGGAGAGGAGAGCAGTGGAAATCTATGGGCCGGTCCTCGGGACGGAAGAGCCACCACTGCTAACGAAGGCCCCACCATAGCTCTGAGGATCAAAGGCAGGGGGTGGAGGTGAATAGATGTGGCAGAGGAGAGGAGAGCAGTGGAAATCTATGGACCGGTCCTCGGACGGAAGAGCCACCGCTGCTAACGAAGGCCCCTCCCTAGCTCTGGGGATCAAAGGCAGGGGGCGGAGATGAATAGATGTGGCAGAGGAGAGGAGAGCAGTGGAAATCTATGGGCCGGTCCTCGGGACGGAAGAGCCACCACTGCTAACGAAGGCCCCTCCCTAGCTCTGGGGATCAAAGGCAGGGGGCGGAGATGAATAGATGTGGCAGAGGAGAGGAGAGCAGTGGAAATCTATGGGCCGGTCCTCGGGACGGAAGAGCCACCACTGCTAATGAATCCCCACCCTAACTCTGGGGATAAAAGGCAGGGGGCGGAGATGAATAGATGTGGCAGAGGAGAGGAGAGCAGTGGAAATCTATGGGCCGGTCCTCGGGACGGAAAATCCACCACTGCTAATGAGCCCCCACCCTAGCTCTGGGGATAAAAGGCAGGTTGCAGAGATGAATAGATGTGGCAGAGGAGAGGAGAGCAGTGGAAATCTATGGGCCGGTCCTCGGGACGGAAGAGCTACCACTGCTAATGAGCCCCACCCTAGCTCTGGGGATAAAAGGCAGATGGCAGAGATGAATAGATGTGGCAGAGGAGAGGAGAGCAGTGGAAATCTATGGGCTGGTCCTCGGGACGGAAGAGTCACCACTGCTAATGAAGCCCCACCTTAGCTCTGGGGATAAAAGGCAGATGGCAGAGATGAATAGATGTGGCAGAGGAGAGGAG